TTAGAAACCCCCTAGGAAGAGAGAAGATGGAACCAGACTCTTCTTGGAGGTGCACAGTGGCAGGACAAGAGGTGATGGACCAAACTGGAATATGGGAAATTGCAAAATTTCCTATATGAAATTTAACTGGAAATCATCACAAGAGTGGTCAAACACTGGACGAGGGCCTAGAGGACCCATGGACCTGATGTCCATGACATCTCCATCCTTAGAGATACCAAGAATGCAGCCTGACAATGCAACCTGATATGGCTGGCATGGTTCTGGAGCAAGGACTAAGATCTCCTGACTTCCTCTCTCACTGATACACTGTGATCCCATGATAAGGAACAAATCCAGATGGTAGATTTCTAGCTGGGCCACTGGCTTGTTGCTGGATGGCTGCGTCCAAAGAGGACACCTGCACTTGCTCACAGACAGTGCCAGCTGCAATATCTCCATTACACTCCCTGTGGCAGTGAATATGTCCCATAGCACCAAAAGTCTGAAATTGCACAGCAGTGCACCAAATAACAGGGCAACACCATCAAGGGCCATGGACATTTTCACACTAATTGTATATCCAAGCCAGAAAATTACAAATACAAATGATTAGCAGGGAGCTGCTGGAGCTGCCCTGTAGGGAAAGTGGGATCAGCATCATCCCAAACTCTACAACGAACTGGAATGCAGATAACTCTCAACTCAGAGCCAAGTCACTGCTTTACCATAAGCTCACCCCACACTGTTTCCCTGTTGAAGGCTCATGGCCCTGCACCAACCACACAGACACCCCATGCATGCCCTGAACACAGCCTATCACAACTCAGTTTGCCCAGCCATCACAGCATGACTAACCCAAGGTGAATGGCTCAAGTATGGCTGAGCACTGGCTGAAAACACTGCAAGGTCACATCACCAACAAGGCAAGGATGGGCAAGACTGCTTAAGATACAGAGGCTCAGCACCAGAGTGCAGCAACTAACCTAGTGAAGCTCATTAAGACTGCACAGAACAGTAAGTTGATTTATTAAATAAAATGTGTTTCACTCACACTCACTCCTGGATTCACTTATTTTCTCATGCTCCGAGTTCACAAGGCCAAAAACACACATGGCCAGCAGTGTTTGTATGTGACACATCTTACGAGTTCTCCTCACGTGTCCTGGGATCTTTGTTACTGGTGGCCACAGACTGGCTTGGGATGTACCTTCTGTGCTCTTCAAGAGCTGACAGCAACACTGATCTTACACCCTTTCACCCTTACCTGCCTTGGGTCTTGAGGCAGCACAGCTGATACATAATTATGGAAGTATTAAAATTGTCCAGGGCCTTTAGAGGTCCTTCTCATCTGTTCTGGAGTAAGATGCCCAATGGTTTGCTACCTACCCTAAGCTTTCTTAGAAGCTGTATGTATCTGTGCTGGCATCTTGATAACCTTCTGGGTTAGGTGCCATCAACCCATGTCAATTTCTTCTTCAACCATTCCATCTTCTGCTTCCACCTGTACACACTTCCATTCAAATTATCTAAATCTTTCTATCACCTGTCTCTACAGGTAACCATGTGCAATGCTGCATGCATGCCCCCCCCCCTTTTTCCACCTGTACACACTTCCATTCAAATTATCTAAATCTTTCTATTACCTGTCTCTACAGGTAGCCACGTGCAATGCTGCATGCATGCCCCCCCCCCCTTTTTTCTTCTTTTTTTTTTTATTCTTTTTTTTTAATTAAACTATCTTTACCTTGAACCACAAGTTTTCTCAATTGCCTTTCCAATTCTCTTCCCCCACCATTCCACTGGGGTGAAGTGAGTGAGCAGCTGTTTGATGCTCAGCTGACAGCTGGGGTTAAGCCACAACACCATGCTTGAGAGAGCCCTTGCAGACACACTTCCCCACTGTGCCCATGGCTTGGGGCACAACAGGCATGCGGGGCTTGGGGCTAGGAGGCCAACACTGAACACACCTAATGCCTCTCTAAAAGGGCTTGATGCCTCCTGCCACAAGAGCATCCAGGGCTTCTCATCAGCCAGAGCACGAAGGCAGCTGCCCACAGGGAAGAGGAACATATGCTGATGGAGGCAGGGCTGCTAGAGGGGGACCCTCCCCACAGGCTAATGGGAATCATTGCCCTTGCAGGCCTGAGGAGCAACTGAAGTCAAAAGCATCCAGAACTGCACACACCACCCCTTGTCACAATGTTGGCTAGGCTGAATAAAAGCAGCCCAGTGCTGCCAACATCTATTTGGCATGAACTCTCTGAGATCTGGTATGGGAGTCTCGGCCTTCAAGGGCCCAGTGCCTCCCCTTAACTAGAAATGGAGAAATCCACCCCACAACAGCAGGACCTGCAGGAACAACCCAGAAAAAGAGGCTTAGCTCTTTTAGATTAGCGAGAACATCACCAAAATATTTCTTCTCATGTCACCATTGAAAGCTTTCACATGTTTATCAGGAAGAAATGAGGTTAGGGATGATTTACTGGCAGGCACATGTTTGTTTTTTTCTTCTCGAAGTATTAGGGTTCTATTTGCTTGTCCATTTCTAGTTAAGATTTGTGCAGCAGGGAGCTGCTCCACAGAGGACAATATGTAAATGACAGGAGAAATGCTCATTAAATGATTCATGTAATCAAGTCTCTAACTTTCCTTCTGGGAGATGGAGGATCCAAAGTTATAAAATCATAGAATCATAGAATATCCTGAGTTGGAAGGGACCCTTAAGGATCATCAAGTCCAACTCTTGACACCGCACAGGTCTACCCAAAAGTTCAGACCATGTGACTAAGCGCACAGTCCAATCTCTTCTTAAATTCAGTCAGGCTCGGTGCAGTGACCACTTCCCTGGGGAGCCTGTTCCAGTGTGCAACCACTCTCTCTGTGAAGAACTTCCTCCTGATGTCAAGATCATGTTCTTTTGAAAACACTTCCCCACACAAATTAGCCCACATTTTCAGCCCATTACTGAGTAGTATGGTCAAGTTACACCATCTGTAAATGAAATACTTTTTTTGCTTTGTACACTTTTTCTGGAGATGATTTATCTTGTCTTTGTCTAGTGTCATTTCATCAAGTTAAACTAGTTCAACTTTTAGAACTCAAGACATAGCCAACAATGTATAGACTTAATGTACAGACCTGGAGTTAACAATGTGCTAGGAGGTACAGTGCCAGGAACCACCTACCCTTCTGTGCATGCCACAGACAGAGTATAGCAGCTCTAAGGCTGGCAGATGTGCTGGAGCCAAAATGCCAACACATACCTATGGCTGATCCAGATAAATCTGCACCACTGCCTGATCCAACAAAGCCACTGGAGCCATGGCTTTGGTCTCTCCTGCCTCTATCCCAACGTATCCTGCAATAATGGGACATCCAAGACAGTGCACAACTGCATAACTTTAACTTCCACACAAAATCTGTAAAAGCATGTCCCATTTTCTAACGGTACATGTTATTTAGGAACCAAAGCTCTGGCTTCAAAAGCACTTGGAGACCAACAATAACCCTGTCTTATGAGACCTCAGTTCATCAGTGGTCAAATGCTTCTGTGTTAACTTGAGACCTGTGAGAATGCCGCAGGATGTCCAAGTGGGGTGTGATGCTTGCTCATCTCCCCTGCCTCCAGTTCACCACTATGTCCCTTCCCTCAGCACTTCTCAGGTGCTTTGTACAGCTCTCCCTAGTTGTGCCTGCCTACTGTTTCCTGGAGGAAACTTTCTTTTGACAATTTCTGCCAAGTTGTTGGCCTTGCCATGAGCAACCCTGTTGATTGTGCTCTCTGTTGCTGTTTTTGAAGTCTAGGACTCGAACCCACTGCAGACATCACAGAGATGTTTGTGAACTGTCCTCACAGGCCAGGACCTAAGCAGTGCTCAGCAGAACCACCTGCAGTGGCTGTAATCAGCTGTTTGTGAGAGAAAAGCCACAAGGCACTCCAATATATCTTTGATTAAACATTTCATAGAATCACAGAACGGTTTGGGTTGGAAGGGACCTTAAAGATCATCTAATTCCAACTCCCCTACCATGGGCAGGGACACCTCCCACCAGACCAGGTTGCTCAAAGCCCAATACAACCTATCCTTGAACACTTCCAGGGATGCCGCATCCCCACGTTCTCTGGGCAACCTGTGCCAGTGCTTCACCACCCCCACAGTGAAGAATTTCTTCCTAAAGTATAATCAAAATCTACCATCTCTTAGTTTAAAGCCATTACACTTTCCCCTATCACTTACACTCCCTGATAGTCCCTCCGCAGCTTTTGTATAGGCCTCCTTCAGGTACCAGAAGGCTGCTTTACAGCAAGGTCTCCCAAGCTACTTTTAGGCTATTTCTTGACTTTGAGGGGAGTAGAAGGGGAAATATTCAAAATTATAGAATAATTTAGCCTTAAACAGACTTTAGGAGGTCATGCAGCCTAACCTGCAGCTCAGAGAAGGATCAGTGACTCCCAGTTTCTAGTGCATGTTGGACTTACAGAGCCCCATGTCCCTCAACCCCCATCTCTTGTAAAGCCAACATTACCCATCTCCCTTGGCTGCAGACAAGAATCAAAAGAAGCATGACCCCCTGTCAAAACTGAGCATAAAACAGCCTCAGGACCTACTTGGGTGGAGGAAAGGGAGGTGCACCCCTTCATGCCTCAGTCTCATTAACAAAACTCAATTCAGCATGCTAATCTCATGTAACATGTTCATTTCTTATGGAACAATTTTGTGTCACTCCCCTGGAAAAGCTTTGGCAATAAACCAAGTCTCTACCTCTGTATCTGTGGATAACCCTGTTAAGAAGCCCACTGAAAGAAGGTGCACGTTATTGGTGGTTTCACTGGAACAAGAGGGAGAATTGCATCAGCCCTTTAAGTCTACCATTTCACAGGCTGCAAGGCTACACAGAGGTGGAGCAGTAACCACAGCCCCGGCAGGGAAGAACATTCCCAACAGGCTGCAGGCTTGCACTCTGGCAGATAACCAATCTTTTTAGATTGCCCCGGTGACACCAGGGCAGAAACTCACCTGAGTTTTCCTTATCCTCAGGTCAGCAGATGACCTGTTCAGTCCTTCTTCTTGTTCAATGCTCTGCTCAATACCTGATTAGGGAAGAAAGACATGGATTATTTTAGACTGTTTAGAGAAGAAAAAGAGGTTCTATGGCAAACTGATTTTAAAAGATGGAAGCCTGTGAAGCATTTGGCACTGAGCAATCCCCAGTTTCTGACTCCAGCCTGTTGGTTTAGCTGGGCAGCACAGTGTCATTTCATTAATGCAATGCACACATTCCCCTTCTGACCCACTCCCTCCATTTTCAGCAATTATCCATTCAGGCAGGAGGAATCAATGACTGTCTCCATAGGAGTGGCGGGGGCTTAGGCAGGGCGCAGGACTGTGCCCAGGCACCTGGGCACCTGGTCACAGGAGCTCTGACCAACATGAGTCCTCTTCACCACCAGCTCCTGCAGCTTCACCTGCACGTGGTCAGGCATGCCAAGCAGTGTCCCTCCCCAGCTTTTGTATAGGCCTCCTTTAGGTACCAGAAGGCTGCTTTACAGCAAGGTCTCCCAAGCTACTTCTAGGCTATTTCTTGACTTTGAGGGGAGCAGAAGGGGAATTATTCAGAATTATAGAATACTTCAGCCTTAAATGGACTTCAGGAGGTCATGCAGCCCAACCTGAAGCTCAGAGAAGGCATGCCAGGAAGTGTTTGTGAAGACTCAGAAGGTGAGGGCACTCATCTCTCTGGAAGGCATTATCCTTTACGTGCATTACAGCTATGCCTGGCCACAGGACCGACTCAGCGCTGTGAAGAGCATTAGTCACTCCCAGGCTGGTAAGCAAGGTTTTCGGCAAAACTATTGTGATGCTCAGCTCTGATCTCTGTACTTTCTGGTATTCAAACAAAAGGGAACACAGTGCTCTTCTCCCCCTGCTATGCAGGATGAGGAAATACAGAGTTAAAATGTCTCTGCAAAATACCAAAGCTCAAGACTTCTCCAGGGGCACTATAAACAGCAGGTCAGCCCTGCACAGGAGAGACCACAATGCCCAGGCTGGAGAGAGGGCCTCGTCTTGCTGAACATTCGCCTTCAGCAAAGCAGAGATTTGTCCTTTTAATTATGCCATAGTACAACTAACTGAGATTAATTTTTCACTTGCCCTAAGACTACAAATAACAGCACATAGGAGCGCTGCACAACTCAGTGCCCCACTGGGGCCCAGGCAGGGAGAGGGCATGGTGTTGCACGGTAGGTCTGCCACAGAGGAAGAGAGTGCAAATCCCCTCAGTCAGCTCAGAACATGCTAATTCAATAGCTCCTATGTTACGATCTTTACAGGGAGTTTAAAAGCCTGGAAGAAATCTCCCACCAGCAGGCTGGCACAGCATACAGAGCTACACACCTCCCGGTAGATCAGTGTGAGCTGGTGGCACTCCCTAGGTTAGGCTGAAATGCCCCATTCCTGATGTAGACATCTCCACAGCTCTCCAAGCCCGACCCTGGCACCTTCCATGCTGCAGCACAACCCCCGAGCCCAGCACAAGACAGGTCCCTCCTGCAGCAGGGGCTCCCCAGGGCCAGCCAGTGCATCAGGGACACCACCAGCAATGTGGGCATTTCTGTGCTTGCCATGTGCTGGTCAGTGCAGGTGGCTCCACAGCACCACTCTGCAGACAGCAGCAGCACCGAAGCTTCTAAGGAAGAGTGGGTCTAGGGAACATATCGTGGTGCTTGCAGAGGGAGTCATACAGCACAGTGTGCTCTAGGGAAGTGCTAGAGAATATCATCACAAATTCTGCATTTCCTCCTATTCTCTTCTGGAACAAGCATCTGTATCTGGGGATATCTCGAAAGGTTCCATCCCACACAACCAGACAGCCGTGGCACTTCTCACATGCATACCCCTGCCTGGGAGAGTGACTGGATGCTGCCTGCACAGCACATTTCATCAGCAATTGGTCTTCCACAGCATTTGTCATAAATCATTCCCTGTTCCCAAGGAACAGTATTGGCAAACATTGTACATTTATAATAATTAATAAAATCACATTTTCCCAAGAAGCTGGTAATTAGAATTAGCCACTGCATGAGCAGTATCTCTCCTAAAGAAGTCAATCCATTGTCAGCAGATGGTGTTTTTGATCATTCCTGACTGTTTTCTTTCATTGATCGTGCTGGTCATGAGGTGATTTGGGACAAGGCACAAGGACTAACAGTCTGCTTCTCCAGGTAAATACAATACTGGTGAGTCTTTTCTAGAAGAAGGAAGTGGGAATCAGAACCTGTTCTGCAATTCTTCAGGCTCTCAAAGCCTCTTAAAAACAAAATAAAACATGTATAGAAAAGGATATTTTTTTTGGTGCAATAGCATAAAAACCTGTGATTTATAGAGTATGTTGTATGTCCCCGAAAGAAACCATTAGTGCTTAGCTCTTCTTCCAGTAACTGCTGTGAAGTCTGAAGTAACCACAGCAGCAGCAGCAGCTGGTGCCACTGCTCTGTTTGGAGGGGACAGCAGTGGGGCACCTCCCAGAGTGCCCCCTGAAGAAACTCTGTTCTGTCACTTTGCACAGGGAGAGCTCCTTGGGTGCTCTGGATGCAGGCTTGCAGGCATCACTGCAGCAGGACATACTACACCCTGTCCCCACCTAGGCTCCAGAGATCTCAGTACTGTGAGGCTACCCAGCCAGAGGGGCCCTGCTTCTTTGGAAGGGATCCCCTGGTCTGCAGAACACATAAGCTGATACCTCAGTTTCCATCCTGGGTCTAGGTGAGATCACATCTCAGGAGGACAGAGGGAGCAAGGGAATAACAGAAGTGTAAGTGCTCCTTCTGGCATCCAGACAGACCACAGTCACACTAGTGGAGACAAATCTAACAAACAGCCCCAGCCACTTCCAAGTCCTCCATGACTGCAGGGCTCCCACAAAACCTCAGGATCAAGGAAAATGCTGTCGGTGCAGGGGAAGCACCAGCTCCTTGCGCAGCCCTTCAGGTACAGACAGTCTCCTGCAATGAGCTCTTCCAAATCCCACATGGTCCCAAGACCAGTGCCAACAAACCTGAGCTCTGCCAGTGCAACCTGTGTCCTGCCCCGAGATGCCACCATCCCTGGGGTCTGATCTTGAATACTCAGACTCCCTCAGCAAAATGGGCTCAGCCAAGTGCTCTAGTGCAACCACAGCCATCTGCGTGTTGACAGCCACATCGTCCTCCCTCTGCTTGTCAAAGAGATTGATTCTTCTGACTGCAGAAACTGTGAGTCACACCGCACTCTGTCCCCATGCCACCCATGGTAGAAGACACACCAAGACAATGGAGCATACTAATGAGACTGGACAGCCTTCCCCACGCCCACAGCTTGTTTCTCGCCCTCCACCAGCCCCACAGAGCCTCTGCATTGGGACCCTATGGCAGCACAGCTGGGATAGCAGGAGGCCCCACTACTCAGCGCAGAGCTGTCCTGCTGCCACTGGTGAGGCAGTGTGCACTGCAGATGGAAAAGCAAGGGATGACGAGACCAGCCCTGCCAACCCAACCCCTTTGGCCTTGCCACAGGTGTGCTCAGGCTGGCCTGAGACTCCACAGCAGGGACTTGCGCATAAGCCGGCTGGGCACTCATGTCTCTGTTCCCTCACCTTTGTCCTGGGACAGAGACTCAATGGGGTGACTCCAGAGGCTGTAAGGCAGGAGTACAGCGGGCATACCCCCTTACCTGGTGCCCCATAGCAGCATCACAGGCAAATACTCACTCTTTAGCTTGGAGCGCACTTTGTTTGCTGTCTTTTTTATGTCAGACATCAGCTCTTCCAGCTCTTCCTTTGTTTCTGAGGAGAAAGAAAAGAGCAAACATGGGTGTGTTGTAGACATTGCTAAAATCTGTCCCCCAGTCCCACAGTATATGGGGCCCGGAGCTGACAGCACTGCCCCTTCCTGGCTAGCAGAATTGATGGAGCACCTCCGCTCCATGGACCCAGACAGATTCTCCTCCCAAGTCCTGAGCCTGGCCATAACCCAGCTGCTGGCCAGGAAAACCAGGGGACAGAGAAGCTATACTGCAGGACTCCTGCCTGCACACCAAGCTAAACTCCCACATGCTCAGGGCTGTGCAGAAAGTGAAATGGAAGAGATACACAAGTGACAGTGCTGGTTCCTGCAGTGAAGAGAAAATCTTGGCTGCACACCAAAGCCCTTCTGCACACCAAGTGCCACAGTGTGGGACAATTTCCCTAGGGCTCTGCCACGCTGGCAAGCCCTCCCCAGGCCATTATAAATGGTTATGTCTTCCTCAGGGAAAGTCTGGTGTTCCTGTGCTCGCTTTCCCTTTGCTCAGCAATAGGGATTTAGCTTGGCCATGCCTAGGCTCTCTTCTGCCCTGCAGCCAGCAGCTATCATTGACACTGTCTTAATAATAGCCAGTTTGTGCATATTCACTCCCCAGCCTGAATTCACTGCTTTTGGCAAAAATCTGTGAGCTGCAGTGGCACAGTGCCAAGAAACACTCCCGGTCCCACAGCCTGTATCTCAGAAATGGCTCTGGGGAGCACAACAGCAACAGGACTGTAAAACAATTCCATATTTCAGTGTGCAGGGACACAGAAGATGCAAATAAAAACAACTGCAAGTACATCCTTTGTCTCTGTACTCATTTACATCCCTATGTACCCACATCCTCCTGTGCGACCAGGCCAAAGCACTGTACATGCGGCTTCAGGCTCCCACTGGGAGAACAGCCCTATCAAATGAAGGGAGCCCATCATCGAGTCCCTGTGTATCTTCAGGTCCTTCTCTCCAAGATTGCAAAGGCTTTTACAGCAGTGATTCCCCTGGTCTGTCAGGAATATTGACTTGGGTACAGGGAGAAGGAAACTAAAGCATATGACATGCTTGAGAGCAGTAAATCAGCTGAGAAAGCCCTGACTAACTGAAGAGGTTTGGCACAGGACTATCTATCTATCCTCTCTCTTATGCACAAACGTCAGAGATCAGGCAGTAATGCTCTAAACTCATCATTAAAAACACTGGAATTACTATAGTGTCTCTAGACACTTGTGTCTTGCAGGACTTTTCATTGCCACAGCATCTCCAAGCAACCATCCCTGCTTGGCAAACCTGGATTAGAACAAACCTCCTTGATCTCCATCATGATCCTCTCCCAGAAACCAGTGTCCTTGATGGAGCTGAGATGTGCACCTCATGGTTCCATATTTCAGAAGTTGCCAGACCCAGGCAAGAACCACAGCAAAGCTGGAGCAGGTCACATACCTCCTGTGCCCAGCACACAGATACCTGTCTGTGCTCAGCCTGCACAGACCTTTGCTCAACGCACCTGCAAAAAGGGCTCATGGCAAGAACCCCCTGCACTCCAACAGCATCCCACTTCAGCATGGGACCAGCACATAGGTGCAGAGCAGACACAGTGAGTCCCTCTCTGTGCTCATCCACAGGCTTGTGGCAGTTAAGCTGGCTCAACAGGGTTATGATTCTGTGATAACCCTGACCTGACCACGAGACCAGCTGATCCCAAAAGTCAGCTGCAAGACCAGCACATCACAGTGTCTCAGGATGCAGATACTAAAGAAAGTACAAACTACCTGCCATTCAAATATGATTTCTCAGAAATCCTGCTATCCTACCACTCCCTCTTGATTTTGACGGGATCAAGACTTAATTAAATAGAAATTTCTTTAATAAAATCTAGACACATTAACTGAGTCATTTCAATGACTGTGGTGGCTTTGATGCTGTACGCTTCTAGCTGGTAGTCACAGGCTTAATTAGAAAATCATGATGATGGGAATGTACTAGGGGAAGATCACATCCTATCGATGCTTGTACACTTTTCTGACTCAGAGCTTAGCTTTAGCAGTGTTGGGAAAATGAGGAAATGAGCATGTCTGCAAATACCTTCTCCCAGGCTCTAGGAATTTCTAAACAAACCAGCTCAGCAGCCTCATTGGAGAAAGTGGTATGATTACATATTAGACAGAGATCAAGCTCAAAGGCATGGAAAGTAAGAGAACATTTTCAGTTTGAGTTCTCATTGAAATTACTACTTTTTTCTTTTTTTTCCATTCTTGAAAGTACTTGTAGGGCTGCCATGAACACAAGGACAGTTGAGAGCTGGAAACAGGAACATGAAAGGGGATCCCAATGCCATCTGCAGCTGCCCAGGAGGAGGAAAGATAGAAGCTAGAACCATACTCTCCTTGGAGGTGCAATGGAACAGGACAAGCAGTGATGGAACATGGGAATTTCCAATTAGATTGGAAAAGATTGCCATTGTGAACACAATCTGGACTCAGAGATTATATGGGATGTCCATCCTTAGAGCAATTCATCACATGGCTGGACATTGGCCTGAAAAACCTGACCTAATGGCCCTGCTGGGGTGCACAAGACCAGGGACCTCCAGGGGTTGCTTCCCACCTGTATCCATTTTTGATCTTATGAAACAATTTCATGCAATTCACTGCCAAGTACTTTCCCCTCCCCCTGTTGATCTGAGGTGAGGGACATGCCACAGTAATGCCATCAGCTTGCAGGGGCACCCACAGTACCAGCAGCTCAGGCAGGTGATGGGCCAGGCGATAGGTGGAGGGGCACGGGACAGTGGATTGCGCACTTTTGTAGGAAAGGCTGAAACTGCCTTTCCTCAACACATTTTCAACAGAACATCAAAGAGAAAACACTCCTTCTGGATGGCTTCCAGTCACAGGACTTGTGAGGATTACTTGGCGATCTGGCAGGCACAGGCTTCCCAGACAATTATTTTCGCACTGATGGTGTCTGTTTAAGTGACTCACTCAAGTCTATTGAACTGTTCATGGAGAGTAACATTCAGCAACAGGATACTGAACTACCACAACATCACCACTGCTCTGGCCAAGGCCATCCTGCAGTGGCAGGCACAGCACACAGGGACAAGATGTGCTGCCCAATGGCAGGGCTGTGCTCCCTGCGCCCCACACACATCCTAGAAGTCAGAGCTGCTGCCCTAGGGCTAGGTCCCACTCCTTGAATGGTGGAATAGCAGAACATCCCAAGTTGGAAGGGACCCCCAAAGATCACCAAGTCCAGCTCCTGCTGGCCTGTAGCACAGCACAGGAAGAGGGATGTCCAATGGTCACCAGCAGTATGGGGCCATATCCCCAGTCCCCCCTGGAAGGCAAGCAGAGGCTCCTACAGGGGATGCTCTCAAGGGACTTCTGCCTACAGCCAAGCACTGGACACTGAAGTTCATCGATAACGGAGGGGGCAAAAAGTTATCTGGACAGCAGCAGTGGCACAGCAAGGGCATCACAGCACCAGATCTTCCCTTCAAAGTTAATCATGGGTGGCTGAAACCCACTCACCTGTGTGCTGGGAACCTGCAGCGCTTCTGAGCATCACCCCAACACCGACTACATACACACAGTATGGTTCTCAGGCATCTGAGCTTCCTTACTTGCTTGTTACTTGGATTAATGAAACATCACCTCTTGTGACCTGGAATTCTTTACTGATAACCAACCAATGCAATCAACAAAAGCACAATTTTAACTCATACCTCAGTTAACTAACAAAACCAGAAAAAAATGATCTTTTTGGTAAAGATTTAACTCTTTCGATAAAAAATTAAAGAAAATCCTGACCACAGTTCCCACAAGGACATTTTTTAAAAAACTAAATTCTCTTGTCTTAAAACTCTTCTTTCATTTCTTGAAGGTTATCCTTGGCATGCCTGCTTATCTTGGCATTTACATTTGCAAAACATTGGATAGTTCTGCAGAGTGCAAACAAAGATGAAGCACAGGACCTGGTGATGGCCTGGCAGCCCACACAAACAATGGGGTCTCTGGACAAGCCACAAGCAAGATGGAATCCTCCTTGGGGCCTACAGAGCTGGTTGGAACTTCTATAGTGTTTTATGGCCTTAAAGTAATAAAAATGAAAACATCATTTTTGATGTTTGACTGGCTAGAAAGGCTGTTTCAGCCACAAGCCTTCACACTGTTGTGTGGAATGCGCAAACCTCCTGTACTGGCTGCCCCGCTCCCAATGGGAAGGGCCAAGCCCATGAAGAAAGAGCAGCCTTGGACACGCACTGCAAGAACCTGCCCCTCGAGTGGGTGCAGCAGAGCCAGCATGACCTGAGACATGGTGGCATTCAGCATGGCAAGGGAACAGGACACAAGTAGCATCTGGGCTGCACTCCCCATCTCCAGGAAAGGTTTCCTGAGTTCCTGAATGTTCCAGGTCATTACCAGAGCATCTCCCAGCACTAAGTGTGGGCAGCTGGTCAGGCTGGCTTGGCAGCGAAAGCACCAAGAGGGCAGATATGCCAACTGAGAAGTAACTCAGAAGTAAATGCCCTGCATTTGTATATGCACTTTCTAGATAAAGTCCCATTTGCCCAAAGAGACTTGGGATATTAACAAACCCTATACAGTCGTTAAGTTTTCAAAGGCCAATGTTCCTTCTTGGAAACCAAGTTGAAAGTCTAATATTGCAACTTATTTATTCAAGCTAAGTAAAACAAGAAGTAAAAATTAGATATGTATAAAATAGACATGTAAAAATAGACAGTGGGCAGGAGACAGCTGCCCACTTAACTTCCAGCATTACAGGAAGGACAAATACTGCTTGAGATGCATCAAGGAGAGGTGCTGCTGGGATTCAGTGTCAGTGCAAAATGTCACAATGCTTTTACATGAAAGCAGAACAGCGATGATGGGCACGAAGGTTAAAAAAGCTCTTAAAGATCCCCTGGAACTAAAGGTGCTATCCTGAACACCTTGCCTGTACTGTCCAACAGTGTTTGGATGTAACCTGCAACAGATTAAAA